AACACAGATACGATTGGCAAAAGGAAGAGGGGACGGAGTTTTAAGCACATGACAACGATGTCTCGTTATAGACGCGACTAAAAAAAAATGGGAGTATAGTGCAACTTCTCAGGCATTTATAGAAATGTTGCTCAACAGCACTTCCATTAAACGAAAAACATACTATAAAATTGGATAACAACTTTTAGGAACTTAGTTTTTACTATTTCTAAGCATGATATTTAGTATTGAAAACTGAGAAACATTTCAAATAAAAAATCTGCTTTATTAGCAAGAATCTCCTATTAATTTTTTCATGTTGAGAGTCACAAGGACGAGATGAGACGAGACGGGGCCAATAAGCATGATGGATACAGATATATGGTGTGCCACTCCCCCCCTTTTGGGCGCCCACCCAGTCGCATTTAGCATGAATGTCGCCTTTGCATAACAAATGTTAGCAACATGTTTCAATAATGAGCCCGCCCCACAGTACTACTGTACAGTAATCCCCCTCCGGCAGCCACTGATGAGCTGCCATGTTGCACGATTGAGACATGCGATGCAAAGCCACCCCCCCGGAGCCACACCCCTGTCCATCGAATATTCGCAAAACCCAAACCCCGGGCTTTCCCTTTTGGAATGGAATGCTTGGACAGCGTTTGAGTTTTGGATCTGAACCGGGCACCAAATTAATCGTTTCCACTGTGCGGTTAGAATGTCGCCTCACCCATTGTCCCCCGAAATAACACAGTGTTCCCCGAAAACCCCATCCCCTACGCCCCTTTTGTGACCCCCCCTGGAGCGTCGAGTGTATGCGCCTCATTTGTTATGGCCATTTGCATAAATAAGTCACTGGCACTGCCAGTTGGGACCGGTTTTGCATGGACGGGGTGGGAAAGGGGGGTTGGCAGCCTGTGGTTTCACGGGTAGAGGGGGAAGGGGGGGATAAAGTCCGTCAGTTGACGGAGATTGTGTGAATAACTTGATGAACGCTTCGCCGGAGGAGTGAGTTCTGTTGTTCGCTGATTTGTTGGGCTGTTTGCATTTATTTATCCTCCTTTTTTCCCAGCACTTGTTAAAAAGTTGACAAATTTCAAAAGTTATAGTGCTCTTAAGGGATTAAGATATTATTTAAGTGGTTCAGGAAATTGAGGGTGTCAAACCACTGGCACTAATAAAAAGGAAGTTGTTAAAAATAAAACTTGGTCAGCAGGATTTTTAAAAGTTTAACCAAAGGCTTTTTGCCAAGAAAGTTATTAAGTTTTCTCTGCAACTAAGTTAATTGATTTTTGGATTATTTCCCAGTAGTCAGAGGATTTTTCCTACTATCCTTGTAGTTCTTGATTAAAGCCAAAATCCTGTAAGTAATAATACAGCTATTTATACCCATCTTATTTATTTTTCGAGGGGGCAAGAATAAAGTTTAAGTCCAAACAAAAGCAAACAAAGGCAGGACACGAAATGGACCTTCGTCCTTCCCTTTCTCTTTCTCTCTCCCTATCACTTTCTCCTTCACTTTCTCCACACTTCTCAGTTTCAGGGATGCGTGACAATATGCCGTTTAATTATACGTCACGACCCTTCCCGTTTGGCCCCCCATCTTTTGTTACTGCTGTTGTTGTTGCGATATCGCACACACATTTTAAAAGTCAATTATCCGCACATAACGCACATCGTTGAGGGGGCGTAAAAAGGACGATCGGGAGGAGTGGCAGCCCATCGTCCTTGCCACGCGTCAAATTTGGCGCGTTTACATTTTTCGCCCTCATCGGCTCCCCTTCAGCTTCCTTTTCTTTTGCACTTTAAGAAAAAAGGAGGCCTTAATTTAGAAATTAATAAATTAGTTTAAATATTTATATTTTCAACACTAGAATTCTTTTAAAATTGCAAGATCATATTTTATAGATTTTGATTTTTGTTTTGATGGGAACTATTTTTGCGAAAAAAGTTTTTCAAAATTATTATTTTAAATTCCTTTTTTTCTATAAAGGTTGTAAAATATAATTTCCTAAAATACTACGAGTATTTTTTTGGGTTTTTCATCTCGTAACTAGGAAATATGTAGCCTTTATTCATTATAATTATTCTGGAGATATATTTTTTCCAAGTGCTCAAAGTTTCTCATTGAGAGAAAGCGGGAAAAAAAAGTTTATTACTTTCAGGAGACGACTCCTTGGCATGCGAAACTGTCGGAGGAAAAAAAAAGTGGAGAGGAGCCAAGGCGGCGAAGGATGTCCTGGCAAATTGAATTACATGAGACATGAGACGGGTAACGAAGAAAACGAGCCATAAGACTTCGATACTAAACCGATAATAACATAATCAGCCCACGCCCCCCGGCCCCTCCCGATTTGCCGAAGCCCATGACCAACTATAAAGTGAGCTTTAGTTACCGTTAACAAGCCAAGTGGCTTGCCTCAGGTTTTCCCCCAATTTCCCCCGATCCATCGCTCTTTCTTTCGCTCGATTGATAGTGGGGAAAAGTTTGCGAGCTGAGCTGGCCAGCCGAGTTTTCCGTTGTCTTCTGTCTGTTAAAAGGGCCACACTGTTCAGCAAGTTTGAGGAAAATGCGTGTTTATAACTTATTCTTTCCGTTAAGAAAGATAAAAATAATTTTGTTTAATTTAGTAAAATTGAATAACAAGATAAAAGATAGCCTAAAAGTTATATTATTATTTTTTAAAAATGTAATCATTCTTAAATTATATTTCTAACGTATTTAATATTACAAATGAAGCAGAAAACACTTATTTTTGAATAGGTAATTGCCGAAAATTCAATTAACGAAATGAGTACAGTTCCAACCCATTTCCCGCAACCATGTAGGTCAGTGTAATTGTTCAATACTTTCTGTGAAGTGGTACGTGCATGTGGGTGGGCCATCTTGTTGCGCTCGTTGGGGCGGAACGGAGGCATTGCCATGTAATTGGCAACAATTTGCATAACAATTCAGCGACTGTTTTGCATAAGTCCTGCGACGATGCAACATAATAACCAAATGGCGGAGAACAAGGATGGGGATGGATGCTGTACAGCAGCAGAAGTACAGCACTTACGTACACATTAGAAATTCCTTCTTTTCGAGCCTGCAAGGACATCAGAGGCCTCCTGGCAGAGGCAATTATGTGCTTCACATACACGACGAGTCGTCGTCGACGACGACGAATACTCCTTTTCCCAGCTCCACTCCCGCACTTTTCCATCCATTTTCCACCAGCAGTTTCCACCCGCTCTTAAGGATCCTTTCAAGACAGCCCGCTGCCTCGTAAAAGTCGCTGCCGGAAATGCAATGGCAAAAGCTACAGGAGAAAAAAACAAAAAATAGTCGGAAAACCGAAAAGAAATCTCAGCCTGAGCTACAAAATTCAACCATTTCTTCTCGACTTTCCCATTTCCCTTATTTTTAACCACATATACTCTTGGATAGTTATCAAAATTAAACTTTTTTTTTATTATTATATTTGGGGAAAGGGAGAAAATTTGCATCCCGTTGCCGCTGCCTCTGAAAATGTTTATAAGTTCCACTTTAATAATGTCGAGTGCTTGATTTCTAGCACGCCTTCACCTCGTTGGCAAAAAATTGCATCATAAGAAATTAAAACTTAAGCTCAGAAGACAGGAAAGCAGCTTTTTACGATAGTTTTGCACTCACATAAAAGAGGATTAACAAGTATAATTTGAAAATGGCTGATTTAAATTTATTTAAAATATTTATTTATAAATTCGTTTCTTAAAAATGTTTATTAAATATTTGTAAATACCTAAAATTTATATTGTATTTTTTAGAAACTAAATAAAATTGTAACCCTTAATTTAATAATTCGTTTATAATTTATTTATTAGTAAATATTTCTTAAAATTGTGTTATCATTTAATAAAATTGCTTTAAAAGAGCTAACATTTTTTTAATGTTTAACCTACAAGCTCTCCTCTTTTAGCGAATAGAAAATGAAATGTATCGCGGATATATTCACCAGCTCTCCGCGGCTATTACGCTTGATTGAGTTTTTCCATTTGGTTTTAGCCAAGTCAATCCGGCATTTTCCCTCCTTCAGCCTTCTGCCCCATCATCAAGGTAACGCCAGCCATGTTAAATTAATAAAAATGTAATGCTCGAGACAAGACCCCAGGGCACCAGAGTCCGGCATAAGAATTGGGCTAATAAATTTACAAAAATGAGTTCGACGCTTAATTTGCCATGAGCATTTTTCATTTTATTTCGCGCTGGCCTCGGAACATGGCTTTTAAGCCCCACCAAAATGAAATCGAGGGAAAGCCGAGGGAAAACCAAGCGGCGGCAACAACACACCAACACACACACACACACACTGTGTAGTGAAAACATGGAAAACAGAAGGCGAACGAAAATGAAAATGAACAACAAGCTGAAGTGAGTGGCTGGGAAAATTACGGTGAGGAAGGGGAAGCTACTTAACGAAAACAAGTGAGGAGAAATTTATTTACCAGGATCTCAAGAGCACGGACTGCAGGATGCCCTGCCTTGTATGGGAAGTCTTGTGCTTAGACGTATTTAATCAGGATTCTACTTAAGATATTTTTGTGCTTTTATGCCAAGAAATGGACTTACTTTCAACATACAGAAATTTTCTAATATTTTTATGAACTTAAAATCGAAGTTTTTATAGATTAAATATTATTTTAAAACTATATAAAATTAAAAACGAATCTATAATTCAAATTCGTTACTCCCTAAACCAATTGAACCCAAACCAAATTACCCTACCTGACCACCGGAGCATTAAGTTCACAATAATATATAAAATATATGCGTACTGACGTTTATATAAAGATAAACAAATATAGAAATAAATAAAAATATACAAATTGTTGTGTGTGCAGCTGCTGTAAGTCAACAGAAAAAAATGCGAGCAGTTAATTTGCATAAAGTAAAAGTTTTCTCCCGCAGTTCCCATACTTAATAAATCGCTTCCAGGTTTATTCAGAACTCATTGCTTATTTTCTCTTTGATTTTTTTGTATTTTTTTTCGTACTTTTAGCTTGGACTTTCGACCGAGTCGAGGAATTTACGATTTGCAAATCAAGAATACGTCTTATAATCGGGATAATGGACGCTTTGAGTGCCGAATCAAGGCGAAGGGAACGGGGGCGGACGTCCATCAGGAGTTCTACAATCTGACGGTGCTGACGGCTCCACATCCGCCGATGGTCACTCCCGGCAATTTGGCCGTGGCCACCGAGGAGAAGCCACTTGAATTGACCTGCAGCAGTATTGGCGGCTCACCGGATCCAATGATAACGTAAGAGAATATTTACATTTTAAATCCCAGTATTCTTCCTAGAATAAAAACCAAAAAAGTATTTTTTTACCATAAGACGAGATTCTGATTTTTCATCCGAAGAAATCAGTATTTTGAGAGAAACAAAAGAAATAATATTCCAAAACTGGAAAGTCATGCCTAAACCTGTATATTTAACTTTTTGGATGGTTTTGTGTAAAAAATCCTGATCCTGTCTTAAAAAACAAGTAAAAATGGGCAAAAAAATACATTATCCCAGATCAACCAAATAAGTCTGATTTTTGGTCAATAAAAATACCCTTTTATCAGTACCATGTAGACATTATTATTAAAATACTTTCCTTTGTGTTGCTTTAATTTAAAAATCCCTTTTCATTACCCAGTTGCATAATTTTTCTATATTTTCCCTTTGGTTTTGTGGCAAAGTAAATCACTTAACGGGCGCACAGTGGTCGATCCCATAGGCCAAAAATAAAAAAAAAAGTGTTTGAATTTGGTCGCCAAATTGGCATCACTGATTCTTGAAATGGTAAAGAATTTAACTGTAAATTTACTTTTGCTCTATTTTAAACAAGCTCATTGTAAAAGCTTTCGTAAATCGGAGATTAAAACTCTTCAAACGTGCAGTCAAGAACCACGAAAAAGTCAGCTCGCCATTAAAAAATTTATAAAAAATATTAAATCAAGGAGTATTAAAGTAATTTAAAATGGAAATTGTGAAAAAAGGTGTATTTATAGTTGTTGTTTTGTTGTAATATAAATTGTTGTCCAGTGTTTTTGTCATTGTTTTAAAAACCAAAATAGCGTACATTGAACTAAAGAAAAAGTTGTGATCCGGATCTGTCCCGAATGTGAAACATATTTTATAAACAAGATTAGTCTTTTAGAATTATATGTTTACAATTTCAGTTGCCCGTTTTTGCCCGTTCCCGTGGTATAATTTTTTCAACAAACTGATCTCGTGCGCTATTTACCGTTTTTTCATCAATTTCGTGACTTTCATTTTGTGTGTGTTTTTAATTTCGTGTATTTGTTATTATCCATTGATGGAGCTTTTTTCGTGTTTTGTTTTTATCTTTCTTTATATTTATTATTCTCTCATAACACCCTTCTTTATTTCCTTATAAATTTCGATTTCTTGATAGGCTCATTCTCTCAGTGTGAACTTTCACGCAATACCATTTTTGATATTTGGTGCTCATTGAAGGGTTCCTTTGCAATAAGGGATAAACACGTAGGCGATCAAATAAAACAACAATTGGAAATGGAAGGATACGGATTTAAAAACAAAGAACTGGTTACCATTTTAAAAAAGATAAAAGAAATGTGGGTTAAAAGCAACCGAACTATAGCTAATGTTCTTAAAAAATATTAAGGAATAAGGAATAAGGAATAAGGACATAAAAATGTATCGACGTCAACACACAAGGAAGATCTCACGTATTGCAACAAATACAGATTTATTAAATCGATTATTGTTGAGCTGCGATCCTTTCATATCAGGGCAACGACAATTACAAAATAAAAACAGTTCCATTCTTTCCAAACAGGTTTTTGATATATTAGAATAATTTTCAAAAAGTTTTGTTGATTTATTTTCTAAGAATTGTTAACATTTACTTAATTTTATTATTCATTTTATTTTAAATATTCAACCTAAACTTTCATAACTATTTTCTTATATCTAATAAAAAAACATAATTTGAGTAATATTCGTTTTTTCCTTTTGTCAATGGATGCTTTGGATAACGGGGAGAGTCTAAAGTAGAGCAAAACATAGCCATGTTATGTTTTATTGTTTTAATCAATAAATTGTATTTATATTAAATAACTAAACTTGATTTTTATTAAATAAATGTACTAATTGCGTTGTTGTCAATAACGCATTAAAAAGTGTTGCATGCTTTAAAATTTTTCAATTTCACATAAAATTTCAGGCATATACACTTAGTCAATTGGGCCAATTTTTTCAGTATAATCTTATTATATTATTATTAAGTTACAAAAAAAATTTCAAGTCGATATCTCCACTGGAAGTATTTTTGGCCACCATCTCCATACAACACCAACCACTGTGGGGCGGTCGCTTTCATTAATAATCCTTCTCCGGCACATGGTGGTCATTCCTCTACCCTTCTCATCTCCTCTATTTTTTGGCACTAAATCGTGGCTATCACTTGTGTATTTTTTGCAGCTGGTACCGCGAAGGCAGCACCGTACCGCTGCAGTCGTATGCGCTGAAGGGCGGTTCGAAGAACCACTATACCAACGCCACCCTGCAGATTGTTCCCCGACGGGCCGACGATGGCGCCAAGTACAAATGCGTCGTCTGGAATCGTGCCATGCCCGAGGGTCATATGCTGGAGACCAGTGTCTCGTTAAATGTCAACTGTGAGTAGCGGGGTTTTTGGGATTGCACTGAGAAAAATATATTTTAGAACTATACTGAACTATATACATACACATACTGAACTACAAACATACACAGATGAAAAAAGGTTGAAGAATACTTTGATATTAACTGGTTTAAATGATATTTAGATAAAGAATTCATATTGAATATCTGTTTAGTCGATATAAAAACATACATTCAAAATATTTAAAAAATATAAAAATTATATAAAATTAGAGAAAAATACAATACAAATATAGATATTGTTTTTATCTAAGTGTTTTTTATACCCTTGCAGAGGGTATTATGATTTCAGTCAGAAGTTTGCAACGCAGTGAAGGAGACGTTTCCGACCCCATAAAGTATATATATTCTTGATCAGCATCACAAGACGAGTCGATCTAGCCATGTCCGTCTGACCGTCTGTCCGTCTGACCGTCTGTCCGTCTGTCCGTCTGTCCGTCTGTCTGTTTCTACGCAAACTAGTCTCTCAGTTTTTGAGCTATCGGGACGAAACTTTTGCAAAAGTCTTCTTTCTATTGCAGGTAGTATATATGTCGGAGCCGACCGGATCGGACAACTATATCTTATAGCTCCCATAGGAAGGATCGGAAGAAAAAAACTTTAAAAAATTCTAGCTTCGGTGTTTTTTGAAATATTACCTTCTACTTTTGGGGATGTTATTTTTTAAATATTTCTGAATTTTGAATTTATTATTTAAAAAATCGGACTACTATATCATATAGCTGCCATAGGAACGATCGGAAAATTAATGGAAAAGTAATAGGAAATAAATTCTAGCTTCTTTGGTTTTTATTGTATTATCTTCTACTCTAGGATATAACTCTTTTTAAATATTTCCGAATTTCAATTTTAATTTGATCAAAATCGGACGACTATATCATATAGCTGCCATAGGAACGATCGGAAAATTAATGAGAAATATTAGAAAATTGAACATTTTTGCGATTTGTTAATTAATAGGAATGATCTGCAAGGGTATATAAGCTTCGGCTGGCCGAAGCTAGCTTCCTTTCTTGTTTTTGGTTGGTGTGGTTGCCCTGATGAAGTTAAATTGGTAGGTCAGTCTGGGTCACAGAGGCAGAAAAAAATACAATTTACGGCTTGAGGCTGAGGAATATTTATTAATTCAGAAAAAAACGAGCAGCAATTTTGGCTGAAAACCTGGCTTTTTCAAACGCTTATTACGTTTTTGATTAATATTTTAAAGAAAATACACAGAAATATGATAACTAAATAACAATAAATATAAAATTTCATATTCACAAGTTAAACAATTTAGTTGCACAAGCATCAACCACTTGAATCGAATTTCGCAATAAAATGTCTCAATTGAGCAATCAAAGGCTTGTCCTAATTTAAATCAAATAATTCCTTTCTTAAATAGAGAAGAATAGCAAACTTAATTAACCGTCCACTTCATGCAAAGCAAATAAATCCCTCTACCTCAAAAACTTGGCCGTAGGTAAGTCGGGTATTTTCACAGGAAAACTTGTTTTCCAATTCTCATCCTTCATTTTGGCCATTTCTTTTGCAATTAAAGTTTGGCAACTGCGTTATGGGAACATGTGTTGTTGTCGCACGATCAACGTGACCGAAAAGCCAAGCAGATGACACATAAAGTGTCTGCCGACCCAAACATACCCCATATAGCCACCCAAAAATCGCACAAACAACCACTTGATTGTTAGTTATTGGACCACAACAACTGAAATCTGCTGCAGGATGACCGGAGCATCAACTTGTCATATTAGTTGGCAACTTTAGCCCCCCCTCGCTTAGTGCCCGAAAAACATCATAACACATTTGAGAGGCGGATATTAAATTTTGGGGACAACGCGACGTATGCGCAATCTACTTGTCACCGCGCGCTCGCTGCATTTAATAAAAATCACTAGCAATGACATGTTACGGAATCTGCATAAAATTTATGCAATCAAATAAAGTAACAAACTAGCAATAAAAGGCAGAGAAAAAATACATTCCTATGTATATATGTAGGTATATTCAGAGGGTGGTTTGGAGTAGAGTGGAGTAGAGCCGAGTTTGCCACAAATATATTCATAGGAAAACATAAATTGCAGTCATTTTTATACACGCCGGATTTGTAGCCGCAAAGGCAGACAACAAGAACAACTCATATATGTTTATATATATAAATGTCTCCTATAAATGTATGTGATTCTCCCCCGGCGTCGTCAGCGTAACAAATATTTATAGCCTTTTCTGTTTGGTGAAATAAGAAAGAGCAAGCCAGTTGAAGAAACGGTAATGTAGTTTTCTTACTGACTAACAGATACTCATTAAGGTTTTTCCTTACATTTTACATAGAAAAAATGTGAAATTTAAAACTAAAACATACATCTTAGGGTTAAAGTGTACAATTTAAATATTTTAGAAAATTTTCAGAAGACTATACAAATATGAAAATACAGAAGATTAATCTAATGATTAGAATAATTTTTTCTGTTCCTAGAAATACTTTTAGAAATTTGTTTTTCTTTGTCCTGCACTTAAATCTATACACATAAAACTCTCCTTTTCAATTTATGTAACTAAGCGTAATTCTGTTAATCTACCACTTCCATATATTCATGAAATATTCCTTTCATAGTATAGATTTTTGCTAAAAACTGACCTTTTCCCAAGTGACCCCAATCAGTTTCTAATAAATATTTGTTCAAGACAAATAAATACAACCAGCAATTACAGGGTACAAAAGGGCCAAGAAAAAGCAGCTAAAATAAAACAAACTGGGCTAAAACAGACACCAAACAGAACAAGAATAAATGACAACAGGCAAGTGGTTAAGGAAAGGGAATACCGAAAGTAGAACTCCTTTTATGGTTGCGGCAGGCGTGGCAAATGCAATTTTTCGGCGTGTGCCAGGACGACTGGATGCTATTTATGGGGCTCATTTAAAATCCATTAGCAGCCAGTCAGCAGCCCCCGTTGAATGTTTGCCCAACATACCAAAATACCCCCAGAGAGTCCTCTGTACTGCGTCGTGTGTCCCGAATCCCGGGTCAAGAGTGGGCCTCCAAGGTGCATTTATGAGGGAGGAGCTGCCTTCGCCTCCGGCTTTTCGAAGTTTCAACAGCAGCAGCAGCAGCCACATCAACAAACTTTGTCCAGCGATTTGCGAGACGTTCGAACAATTGAATTTGCAGCGGCGATTTGGCTTTTCAATGGCTTCCAAAATGGCCTGCAGGCGATCGCCATAAAGGCCCGAAATCCAAAATGCAAAATTCAAAATCCATGGCAGACAGCCAATCCAATACAGTTTGAGAGCCATTGTTGAAGGGGCGCCTGCGGACGAACGGCAATTTGTGTCCCCAGATTGTGTGTCCTGCATTAGCTGGCTAATTTTGATGGCCCTGACATAATGGGTTAAAGAGCGGGATGTTTAGGCTTGCTTAATTTAGGGGAAATTAATATTAACTAATTTTTCTACTAAAAACGTATTTTGCCATTTTAAATATAAATATGTATAGTTGATACAAATTTACCAGACTCTTGTAATATTTTCCAAAACATTTTTGATATGATTTTTAATATTATTAACAGTTATTAAATCACTTCAAAATATAAATTAATTCATTTAAAGTTTAGAAACAAAGAAACAAATTTTTTTCGATTTAACTAGTATAATTAATATTTCCAAAGACAACTTCATACCTCAGCGGTGCATATTCAATCATCCTTTATTCCCCTTTTCATTCATCCAAAAAAACATGGCAGTGGAAAATCATACAACACGTTCTAATTTTCCTCATTTTTCTTAGCCAAAAAAAAACCAGTTTGACAGCCACTGGACGACAGCTGCATTGAGACAGATATGAATGCGAGGCAAAGACGACGTTGTCTCATGATTGTGATTGTGATTGATAAGCAATTGATAGCACCAGATAGAAGAAGAAGTGGGGAGAAAGTTAAGAGTAGAAAATAGAAAAGGAAAATGCGAAACAGGGGAAAAATGGGAAACAGAGGAAACAGCAGCTGACAAATGGCAGGGCAGTTTTTTAATTGAAAATGTTTGCATGGATTCTTGAAAGCGCTGCCAATGTCATCCGATTCATATGTGTCGGGCTGCTGCCATATCTTTCTTCCTCTAACCATTCCATCTCTTTTTCTTTTGAGCTTCTTCTGGATAAACAGTTGTGAACAAAATATTGGAACTTGAGGGATTAAAATTAGTTAAAATTGGCATATTATATATATTATTATATTATTATATATTGTATATATTATTACATTAAATAATTTTTTAGCAGAAGTCAATAAATTTCCTATTAAAGTTCCTAAAAAAAATTCTGAATCAGCTGATGGCCAGTTACGCAGTGTGACCAGCGCTGCATAAACTAAAAAAAAAAAGAGTTACCATTAATTTTGTTGTAAAAAAGATTAAATTTATAGGAATATAACTCTTAAAATATTTTAAAAACCACTGTTATTTTAATCACAGCTGTATATATAGCAACACATATCTGAGTTCGCCGTCTCGCTTTGTTTATTCCACTCCCCTTGCTGTTTGTGTGTGTGCATTGCCTGTTGTGCCTGCATTTGATTGATTTATGCCAGAAGCTACAAAAAAAAAGAGATATATACCCGAAAGACACGAAAAAAATTGAGAGAGAAAATTGGGGAAAAAAAGAGGAGTACATATACATATATATTTTTGGAAAAATAAACTCCCAATGCGTCATGTTGTCAGCGAGGCGACGACTTCTCGTCGACCGTTGAGTGTTTTATAACGTGCGAAAATCCCCAAATGAAATTATTGAAAATGTCTCTGGCCCGCGCTTTTTGTGTTTTTCCTAGATGGATTCAGCAAAAATATGGCTTCAAAGAGTGCGGAGGGGTGTGGGTAGTGGGGGTGGGTTTTCTTTTCGAGTGGGCGGCAAGGCCATCAAATTGCGCATACGCAACGTGGCCACGCATAGACAAAACATCGCCTTGTCAACTTGGCACAGTTTGC